AAAAAATCGAAGAGTAACAAAGTAAATAGATAATTTAACATTGTAAATTAATTAGAAAGTAAAACGATGGAGCTTCAGAAAATAATAAGTAAAACTTATGTTTCACTCTAAGGCTAGATTGATAAAAAAGGAAAAAGACTGACAGTTAATACCAGAGATAAACGACCTTATAACAGCAAAATGTTGTCTTTATTTAATTAAACACTTTAAACCATTTGAAGCTTTGTACTGTAAGTTTTGGTTTGTGATTTAGTGAACGCTCATAAAAAAGCTGTAAAGCAAAACGCGGAATGTTTAATTAAATAAAAACAACATTTTGATGTTATAAGGTCGTTTATTTCTAGTATTAATATGCCGTCTATACACCAATATGCACTACAGAAATTGAATAATTTGACTAACATTAATTTGGAAACTAAATTTAATATCAAAATTATACCAAGTTATAGGTGAAAAAATACTTTTTTGATGTTAAGGAATATTACAAAAAGAGAAACCGATAAAACGTTGCTGGAGATTCTTGATTTAAGATTTAATCGTTAATGTTTTAAAAGAAAACGTAGCAGGAAAATCAGAAAAGTACGAAAAGGCAATCACCTTAAATTACTTGTTTTTTGTTTTAGAGCATAATGTTGCACAATGGGCCATTTGTGCTCTGCCTAGCACGCGTATCGAAATCCGATTTATATCATCATAAGTCTCCCGACTTCGTCTTAATTAATTAAAATGAAAAATACTAGCTCAGGACTTGATGGATTTACACTTAGCTTCTATAAATGTTTTATAGTTATAAATAGGTCTTCAAATAAAGGTATTCCAAATATAAAGTATATTTTTTACAAAGAAACAAGGAATAGAAACTATTATCCTCAAAAGGGATAAACCTAGACATTTGTTAAAGAACTGGAGTCCTATCTTTATTGTTAATGCTTCATATAAAGCAGAAGCAGCTTATATAAGAATAGTTTAAAAGTCATGTAGAATGAACGCGGGTTTTAACTAAAGGAAGATTAATGAAAAAATCAACGTATGTTGTTTAACAATATATCATAATGGTTATTACATGAAAGATGTGTGTATTACCAAGCATCATAATGGTTATTACATGAAAGATGTGTGTATTACCAAGCATCATAATGGTTATTACATGAAAGATGTGTGTATTACCAAGCATCATAATGGTTATTACATGAAAGATGTGTGTATTACCAAGCATCATAATGGTTATTACATGAAAGATGTGTGTATTACCAAGCAGATACTTTGTTATTTTACCTTTTCTTGTTAGTGGTGAAAAACTTTTAATGTAACAGTAAAAAAAAAAGAAAAAGTACAGACTAATTATAGGTAATTAAATCTTCAATTTTTCCAAAATGTTGTTAACGCGGTGTTATATTTGGTTCACAACTGTCGTTACCCTTTGTATTAAATGTTTTATAATAGTTTAGTACGTTTTGTGGACCTGAAGTAAATTTCTCAAAATTTGTGTTTAAAAATGGTGCAATGATATTGGAATAGTGTGACTATTCTAACCCATTGCAAATAAATTAGTCTGTACATCATTTTACATATTTGGATATTAATTTAGTTTCAAAGTAAATGTCATAGTAAACATAGATTGTGGTTTAAAATTAAACTCTAACTCAGTCAAAAAGTAATCGATTTTTGTTTGTTTTTTAATTTCGCGCAAAGCTACACAAGGGCTATCTGCGCTAGCCGTCCCTA